GCTAGACTTGATCTGTAAGATCATGACGCTTTATAACTTGCTAGGGCGTAAGTATGTTGTGCAGCGAGACACACACATACGTACACACAAACCCCTGCTTCATTGTTGGCGTTGTTCGCATGACATACAGTGCCAAAAGACATGCGTACCAAGACCATAAAATTTCAAGGCTGTGCCTTCGGCGCTTTGTGATAAATTGCGTTGACGTGATTATGTTGCAGTTTCCTTGAACTCAAGTTGTGTTTACGTGCAACGTAAGAAAGTTTTAAGAGTTTCCTTTTGTCAAGATGTGACTGTGCTTCTACCGATTCGAGGAATCGTTTGAATCTGTGAATACGTGTGCTTTACACACTCAAGCACGGGAAGGGCGGGAGGGAAAATCCCTCTCAATGCAAGGCTATGAATTTTAGCTTTGCAAAACGGGGGATAGACGATGTAGACAATGGGCTAGCTATGGCGGGGCATCTTGATTACTGCCTTCGAAAGGTGCAGAAAACGGCTGTCAATTATCCGTGGGAGCTGGGATTTTTGAAGCAAGACAAACGCCTTTTCGAACCACCGCAGCCCATTGGTATGGTTCCTTTGGCGCCGGCTCTTGATTCGAGTTCTCATGAAGACGTTGAATCATCTTCATTCGCTGTTTCGAAGTTAGGTCACGATGCTTTTTGTAAAATGCCACTCATTGAGTGGGAGCACAGGCTCTTGCTCAACGTGAAACTGCTATCTACAAATGGAAAAAGATTGTGCTTTTGGAACCGATGCAATTCGAAGTGACCAGGAATTTTGGGACTTCTGTGCGTGGAGGCTTCAGTACAGGACGGCTCACTGAGACACTCCAGAACGTCTTTGCTGGCAAGAGCACTTCGACTTTGAACAGCCGCGCAGGGCCCATCCTTAGATACATTGCCTTCTGCAAACGACATGGTAGAACAACTTTTCCTGTCAGTGAAGCGGGTGTCTACGAGTACATGTTGTATGAAGAATCTCATGCTGCTCCAACATATTTGAGAAGCTTCATCAGTTCGCTCGCTTTTTCTTATCATGTTGTGGGACTCTCAGGAGCAAAGTGCATTGTCGAGTCGGTCCGTGTTCGAGGGCTTGCTACAAAATGTTTTTTGAACAAACGCAAGGTTCTGCCTAGGAGGCCACTCTTTGCATATGAGATTCTTACACTTGAAGAAATCGTTCTTGGAGAGCAGCGCAAACCTCTGGCGGACAGGCATGTGGCTGGGTGCTTTTTGTTCATGCTGTATGCAAGGGCACGTTTTTCAGACATGATGAATGTCACCGCCCTCAGCTTAGACACTGTCAGCGTCCAGGAAGAGGTCAAAGGTTTCATTGAGACACAAGTTGGACGAAGCAAAACTTCATTTACAGTGGAACGGAAAACAAGGTATCTTCCCATGTCTGCAACTGTCAATGGGCTTGCTGAAAAACCATGGGGTGTCGCGTGGAAAGAAGTCATTGAAAAGAATGCCATTGAAGTCGGGCCAAACAAGCCTTTGCTTCCCGCGCGCACTCGAAACGGGTGGCACACTTTGCCTCTGACAGCGGAAGCAGGCACCCAATGGCTGAGGACTTTGCTGCAGGTTCGTGGTGACCCCCCCCATTAGGTGTGGAGAGCTGGGCACTCATAGCTTGAAGACGACATGCTTGAGCTGGCTTGCAAAGTGGGGAACCGATGCAGATACAAGGCGTTTGATGGGATATCATGTTGCTGACAGGTTTTCGACCATGCTAATCTATGGTAGGGACAACACGTCAGCCGGATTGAGAGAGTTGCAAACCATCATCGACGCGGTCAAGGTCGGCGACTTCTTGCCTGACAGAACACGTTCAGGGATGTTTGCCAATGCATTGGCGACCAAAGAGGCCCCGGGTGATGATGCCGAATCCGTCTCGAGCTCATCTGAAGATTCGTTTGATGAAGAGAACCCGCAACATGATGAACTTGAAAAAGCTGAGAAAACCGTTTTGGACAAGTTTGATTCAGGTGTCGACCTTAGCAAGATTCCAGATGACGTAGCTTTCTTCCGCCACTGCCTTTCGAGGGTGATTCATTTGACGGAAGACGAGTCAGGAGCTCGATTCAGGTGTGGAAGAGACGTTGCGAGCTCATACACCCAGCTTGACGAAAGGCCTAGTGTTTTGATTCCAATCTGCAAGCAGTGTTTTGGCCGCTTCGTGAAAGGTCGATAGATACCGATATGACTTCTCAAGATCTCAGGCGCCGTCCCGAGAAAAAAGGGATCGAAACAGACTTGAAATCAGTTGAAAAGAAGTGTCCTGGGAAACCTTTTTTTCTCAAGGAAAAAGGTCTTCCAGGACACTTGGCATGGACGCGTTTTGCTTTTCTAAAGAATGCTATTGTCTACGAAAGCTCAATTTAAGTTTAAAGCTGCTAAAGGAAAGGCCAACGTAGAACCGAGACCAACGCATGGGTGCGAGATTGAAACATTTTCAAGATACTTTCAACTTTGAGACTGTTTCGAAAGACTTTTCGAGAAGTTGCCAACATTCAGACGTGTTGCTTGTGGCAAATTTCCAATCGGTTCGGCTTCAAAACCGGGGTCTAAATTTAAACCCCGGTTCGGCTTGAATCAGGATTTCATTCTTGCTCAAAAGGCCTCGACAGGAATGGCATCCTACGGCGACAATAAGCCCGTTTTCAGGAGTAGAGCTGCAGCGGCTGGCCTTAGCGATGACTTTGTCCAGCTTCTTGTCGATTCCCACCTGGACAGTTTGTCAAAGTACGCCTTTTGCAGTTCATACGTCCCGGGGTCAGGTGATGATGCGAGTTTCATCAGGGCCATTCGCAATGCAATAGGTCGGGACCCTTTGATTGGCGAGCAAGCATCTTGTCGAAAACTACTGCATGAAGCCTATGCCTTAGTCACTGCTGAAATCAAGCAACAGCTCGAACGCAGTGAGGAGGTTCAGACTCGTAAGCTCACGCAGCCTGAGCGCAGTGACCTGTACCAGAAACAGGTCAAGAAGCTCGTCGGCTTGAGCCTCAAGGGACCTATGGAACCTAGTGATGCACTCGTTGATGTGTTTTGTGGCATGTATGATGCAAACCGCCTTCGCTTCGTGCCATGGGAGAAGTACACTTCAAAGGAGTGCGAGTTGGAAAAGTCTGCGCGTGTTGAGCATCAGTTTGCAGTGGAAGGTTCAGGGAAACTCCGTGTTGAGTCAAAAGTCCCAGAGTCCGCGGCCGATACTTCGTCGGAGATCTTACTGCAATATGCCTTGCAGCGTCGTGGCCTCAGCATGGAACAAGCAAACTTACTTGACTATGTCATTCACCAAACGTGGGTTGACAAACTCATTCGAACCCGGCTGCAGACGCCGCCCGACGGTTACGCTCGAGTGTCCTTTAAACAACTGCTTGAAGCCGACAAGAAGTTGTTCGAGGAGCTTTGTGATGAGACACGAGCAGGCGTTCAGGCCACGGCAGCGGGACGGCCATTGGACCTTGTTTTCTCACAGTGTCGCCATAAGCCAGAAGTTCTTCATCTTTTGCAGCCTTTACCGACTAGACCCCAGTCGACGGTGCCACCAAAGGATGACAAGTTTGTGTGGAATCGCTTTCAGCCCTATTCCAAGTCAAAAGGCAAAGGGAAAGACAAGGGCAAAGGCAAGGGATTTCGAATGCCAGTTCAGCTGGTTGAGGGTGGTTGCAGGCCTACCACCAACCAAGGTGACCCAATTTGTTACGGTTACAATTTGGGAACATGCACACTGAAAGTCAACAAGGGGCGTTGTGAGAAAGGCTTCCATGTCTGTGCATTGCCGAAGTGCGGCAAACACCATCCTTTCATCCAATGTCCAGCCAAAGGAAGTGCCTCTTGACTACATGTCAAGAGCCCGCGTGATCATGAGCAATTTTCCATGGATCCCGAAGCGCGCGATCCAGCAAGTATCCAGGAGCATACCATCAATGATGGCAATGCAGGGCTTGAAGAAGCCCAGCAAGGAGTGCTTCCAGCAGATATCGCCAAAGGTGACAAATCTGCAGACCATTTTTCTCGTCCCATCTCGGGAACTTTGAAAGAATCGCCACTTTTTATCGAGTTGTGTTGCGGCAGTGCCATTCTCAGCAGTGTCGTAGCTAAGCATGGTTTTGAATTCATGGCCATCGATTTCGAAGGGAATAAGCATCATCCTTATGTACATGTCGTCCAACTTGATTTGCGTAAGGCCGACACTTGGGAGTTTCTGAGGTTCGTCGTCCAGGATCGTTTTGTCTTCCATGTACACGCAGCGCCGCCATGCGGCACGGCATCTCGTGCACGCGACCGTAGGCTGTCAAAGCCTACACATGGGCCTCCTCCCCTCAGGTCTGCCGAATTTCCGCTCGGCTTTCCGTGGTTGAGCGGTGTGTGGATGGACAAGGTAACGAGTGCAAATGACATTTACCTCCAACTGGCAGAGTTTTGCTCCTGGCTTAGTTCAACTGGAACAACATGGAGTATCGAGAACCCAGGCACCAGTTATTTGTGGGATATCAGTGAGTATCAAGCGCTTGCCCAACAAGCTCAGTTCGTGCGCTTTCACTCCTGTACGCACGGCGGTCAAAGAAAGAAACTCACTGGTTTCCTCACTACATGCTCGCATTTTGCTGCTCTTGAAGGTTCTTGCCAAGGTGACCACGAGCACCTTGAATGGGGTACACAGTCCACACCAGCAGGCATCCTTTTTGACACCAGCAAGGAGGCTGCTTACCCAAGGCTCCTGTGCACTCGGATTGCTGCTCTTTTGTCTTTGGCAGCGGCCGAAGACAACATTTGTCTGTGTGACCCCTCTCATGTCGATTCGCATCCGACGGATGCTCGCGTCGCCGCTGGCAAACAGCCTCGTGGCCACAAATTGCAGCCTCTCATCCCGGAATACAACGCTGTTCGTACAGTCTGTGTCGAAGCTCACAACCAGCCCATTTTGAATGACAAAAAGATCCTGTTGGTGCCTTTTGCTGATATTCCCCTTGGTAGCAAGCTGCTGCGCACTTCCCCTGCAAAAAGGGGAGAACCAGGAAGTGACACCAGCATGCAGACATATGTCTTTGGAGTTTTTCATTCCATGATCGAGTTCGTTGACCGTGCAAGAGCGTTGACGCATCCTTTTGACTCGTACAAGGCGTTGCCAGACTCGATGCTTCGAGTGGTCTTCAATGTTTTGACAAACTCGCCCCTCGTCATCATGAAGAGGAGGCTCGAGACCCTGCAGCGCTGGAGGACTTGGGCGGGTGAGCTCGAAGAGGCGAACCGCAACATTTTTCAGAATATGGACCCGGGTTGTGCATCTGTCTTGAAGGGCAAACACCTTGCGCTGTTGGAAAAGATTGCAACGGAGCTTCAATGGCCAGATGTCTCGGTGCACAAGGAAATTAGAGACGGTTTTCGACTTGTTGGGCTTCAGAAACCCTCGGGTGTTTTCAGCAAAGACGTCAAGCATCGCACTCTGTCGGAAAGGGAATTGCTTTCGCAGTCCAAGCACATCAAGCCGGCGTTGTGGGGAAAGATCAATTCTGCGCCGGCCACCGAATACCAACAAGACTTGTGGGACATCGCAATGCAAGAAGTGAGAGAGAAACATTGGCTCCAGGGCCCCTTTTCCTTCGAAGAACTTGAAGTGATGTTTGATGGTGTTTGGACGCCGGTCCGCCGTTTCGCTGTCTGGCAAAGGTCCAAGTGGAGGCCCATTGACGACTACACGGAATGCGGTGTGAACGCATCATTTGGATATCTGGAAAAGATAGATCTTAGAGCCCTTGACCAGACTGTCTGGGTAGCTTCATGTTTGATCCGTCATGCCATTCATTTGGAGTTCGCTGAGTTTCGCTTGAGCACTGGTGAAGTCTTGAGGGCCCCGGTTGACAAGCATTGGAAACGGCACCACTCAAAGGAATTTGTTTTGACCAAGACGGTTGACCTGAAGTCTGCGTACAAGCAACTTCCGATTTCTCCTATTGACAGGAAATTGTCGATCTTGACTTTGAAGTCACCTCGGACTGGAGAAGTCCAAGGGTTCGTGTCGAGGACTCTACCTTTTGGGAGTGTGGCGTCGGTGCTACATTTCAATAGAGTGGCGAGGCTGCTACACCGGATAGGCATGGAGCTTGATGTCAACTGGTCAAACTACTTCGATGATTTCCCTGTTGTTGAATTTGATGAGCTGTGCCAGAGCACGTCAGGTACCATTCGTGCGCTAACCCACCTTTTAGGGTTTGAATGCTCGCCTGACAAGGAAGAGCCCTTTTCGTCCAGCACTCACACGCTAGGAATGTGTCTTGACACCTCCAGTTCGCACGAAGGCTTTGTGAAGGTGAAGAATCGTGAGGACAGGACACGAGAGCTCAAGGACGTCGTGCAGGACATCATTCGTTTGAAGTGTGTACAACCTAAGCTGCTCCCTTCCCTTTTTGGACGAGCTCTTTTCGCTGAGAGCTTCTTCATGGGTCGAGCAGGGAGGCTGGCCTTGTCAGAACTGAGGCATCTTGAATACAGCAGAAAACCCCGCGTCGAGCTTAGCAAGTCGCAGTTGGATGCTTTTCAAGTCTTGTCTGCCAGGTATACTTCGTGCCAGCCCAGGGTGTTGCGTGCAGGGCCCATTGAGCCCCCTGTGATTGTATTCACTGACGGTGCTTGCGAGGAGGTGGGAGGAAGTCTCCAGGCATCGGCAGGGGGTGTGCTACTTGACCCTCGTGAACCGAAGAGGATCCGCGCCTTTGGGTGCTTCGTTCCTAGGGAGGTATTGGAATCTTGGACTAAGCTTGGCAAGGTACATCCTGTTTGTCAAACGGAACTTTTCGCCGTGGTCCTCGCTAGGCATGAGTGGAAGGATGTAATTGACGGCCGACGCACCATTTTCTTCATTGACAACCAGGGTGGTCTTGATGCGTGCATAAAGGGATACAGTACCGAGGATTCGACAAAGGATCTACTGATATCACTTGAAAGGCTAGATGCAGCCAATGCTATGATTGGTTGGTTTGCGAGAGTGCCTTCGAGTTCAAACATAGCCGATCTTCCGTCAAGAGGATGTTGGAAAAGTCTGAGGTCGTTGTTGGACCCGCTTGGAACCTTAGAAGTCGTTGAACCCTTTTGCTTTGTAACTCACAGGAAACTAGGAATCTTGCCTGAGAGCTCGATGACCAGTGAGCAAAAAGATGGAGTTGACAAGAACAGCTGAAGTGAAAGTGGGGAAAACACGTCGTGATCAGAGAGATCACTCGAAAGTCGTATGAAGCTCGAAAGCGCGAGCAATTCACAAGGGCCAAGCTCTTTTGGTCTTGTCCAGCGACGCTTTGCAAAACTTGCATTGCCATATGCAAGTGTTCGTCGTGTTGCCCCACGTGACAGCAACAGCTGACTTTCAATCCAAGAGAAAAAAATGAGCGCCTGCAATCACTTGTGCAATAAACGTTTTCTTGTGATGCAGTCATGTTCTTGTGCTTCATGTCAATTCGACAGTTTTGTAAATGTGACGCTCCTCTGTTGAACTTTTAAGCTTTTAAGCGGTTAGCGCGTAATCCTTGAGCCTCTATGCGTCTTATCGCTTACACCTTCTCATAATATACGCGCTCCCTGGGTTTGTGTGCTAGCCCGCAAGTATAAGCTAGACTTGATCTGTAAGATCATGACGCTTTATAACTTGCTAGGGC